AAGAACTCATGATTTTCCAGACAGATCAATCTTATTGCAATCAGAAATTTCATTTTTATTCATAAGTAGACGATATAAGACTCATTAATTGGTCTTACTGAGAATCATAGGTAGATTGCTTTGGTGTCGATAATATCAATTTTCTGTAGAAAAATGCTCTCCACTCAATGTTCTCCGAAGTCTTCATCTCTCCTGTCTTCAGGGTGCGAGAAAACTAGTTAACAAAACCCACCTCCTTCTGCTCACAGTTAAATTTTGCATTCCTAATGAAGTATCTCATAAGTGAAGTAACATCGCAGAAGGTGATGAACCACTGAATTTTGAAGTATATTCATACAAAATAGTTTTCAAAACTATCAGTAACTAGTGAATGGGAGTTCTAGTCATCCTAGAACGCTTAATGTAAGGAAGAAGAAGGAAAGTTGAAATTTTACACAAGAAGATGAATAGGTCTCATGTTTTCATTAAATTTCGCAGAGCTTTGCTTTCCAATAGGTGCTCACCTCTTGGCAGGAGTGGAATGCTGTCCCAATCTCGCATAGGACTCGAACCCCTGGTAATGCAAAGTATAAACTCGACATAATACAGCTAAGTCCTTGGTCACATTGCAGATGTGAATTCAAAAGAATACCAAGAATGCCAAGATTTCACGCTGCACTACTTGGGTTCGAGTCCGGCTGGAAGTCCTGATAAGACCTAGGCGAGATTGAATTTGGACGAGAAAAGTATTCTTAATTTATTGGTCATCCTAGGCTTTTGTACAGAAATTGTGAGCTCTTAATTGCGATGGCAGATATCAGTCTCCTGTTGCAAAATTTGCTCCCTCCTACAGAGCGGATTGGGGTTCCAACTCATCTGGATTTCAAACCTAGGATTTGTGGAACCGCAGGCAAACATGAAACTCCTACGTAACTCGATGCTGCATTCTGAAGGAAAGGTTGGTTGGAAGATATTCGTAAACTGGCCTCATCTGATACTTAAATAGTAAAAGCTAGTGAATTATGCGACCTGAAGTAACTGAAACTATTGCATGCTACATTTTCCTACAAGGATGATATAGATCTTACGATGCCATGTGATTTCAGTAAGCTTTCTCTCCAAAAGCTAATTTTCATCCGGGACAGAGTGCAGTTTTGACCTTGCCTGAGTCTCATCCGAACCTTCAACGGAATTCAAATCCATGAAACACCACACATCCAGCTCATTTCGTTGTAGAAAATTCGTCCATCCGTGTTAGTTTCACACATTTCATAGTAATAATGTCATATTTAATAGCAAATGCAAGTATGCCTTTTCGACAGCAGTCCCATTGTTACATATTATTTGAAAGATGCTTGAATTGCTTTAGAAATTCCTTATTCTCCGAGACCCACTGGCACCAACAGCTGTTTGGCTCAATGCTTGTATTGCTGCAGTACGTGCACACCTTGGGTCAGAATCCCACCGGGCCTGCTGATGGGTCTCGGACGAAACTGAAAATGCAGTCCAGCCCAAATGTGAATGCCATTTTAATGATAAAATTGGGTTAAATATAATGTTATACGGAAGCCTCCTCACGTGTTTTATGTAATATTTGATTTACACTCAACTAGACTGTGCTTGGCCTCGTTTTCAAAACGTGTTTTTGTTGTCAGCCGGATCTCGGTGAAAGCACTTTGTCCGAAGTCCTCTGCCATGATGGGCATGATAATTTTGAGTGTCGAAGCTTAGCCTTGGTGCATTCCAAGACTTAAAATTGTCATTATATTCAGTTATGATGTGTTCATTAGGCGACACGACTAAGTTGCGAAACGAGGTCAAACTACTTGTAAACAGCGAAAGAAGGTTGAAATAAAAATAGCAGCGAGTTTACTCTACTAATTCTTATTTAAGATCTACCAATAGTTTTAGAACCCACCCACTCATTAAAATGCTACTTTGCTAAATACTTACATTGTGCAGCATGCGCTATGCTCATCACGAAATCATGTTAACTTACAAGTATCCACCTTGCTTGCTTTGTATCCATCCGCCGATAGGTGATTGCGACGGATGCTGACATCAACGCCAATGGCAACTTGACCTATTCCATTCGTCAGAGCACTGGTCCAGCCGATCTATTCGACATTAACGCCCGCAGCGGTGTCATCTTTTTGCTTCGTCAGGTACCTCTCAACTGGCGCGCATCGGGTCTACCTTTACCGCAGACTTCAGGCAAATCGGAGACGGGCAAAACCACAGGTAGAGATCCACGAGAAAGTGGAGACGGCCTCAGTAACAGCGAGACTCGATGGCTCGACAACACAGATACTTCGCAACTTGGAGGCCTGGCACAGATATCGAGGGAGGAAGATGAGTCGGACGAGTCACTGGCATCTCAGTTGGATACGAAGAATCGCTATGAGGCGGGACACAACTGGCCGCCCTATCTGGTGCGTGTGGAGGCTTGCGACCAAGGACAAAAGCCTCGATGCTCCAGCTTCTCGAATTTGCAGATACAGGTAGTCATTCTTGCCTTTGTCTGTAATCCAGTTGGGATCAGATTGGGTCAGCACCGCTTCCTTCTAAAAGTTCACTTTGCTGCCAAACACAATAAATAAAGTTTCGAGACTAACAGTCGAAACTCTACTCAAATGCGAAAAATAAGTAACGTAGTCGATTTTTATAGCAAATGTACGTTGGCTTCATCGACAATCCCACCAAAGAATATGATATGACAAAAGGCTTGGCCTTGCTTGAAATTCACATTTGCCCTGTGACCCAAAGACATTCGTGGCAATGTGACCGAGTGGTCAACGTGTCATGCTCCCATTCTGCACTGTCACGGTTCGAATCCCGCGGGGGGTCGAAACTGCAGTCCACCTTAGGCTGGATGAGAACAACTTTTGGGAAAGCAAGGCAATGTGAAATCCAATGGAAACGTCAGCTCTATTTATATCATTGTGGGCAAATTCTACTACCAGTCCTTCATCACCTTAAACGGAATAGGGTGAATACATCTCAAAATGAATAAACCTGATTGGTCGACCATGTAGGTATCTCTAGTTTACCGCCCTATTCACATCCTGATCAAAATTTTCTGGAGAGCTCCATTCTGTGGAGATCCAAAGAGTGCATAAATCAGGAGAAAGCTTCAGCAATTAACATGCGGATACGGCATAATATTGTTGATTTTTTAATCCTTTTGAGCACATTGATTTTGATAAGATCAAAGAGAAGGTATGATTACTTGAAATAGCTGAAGGGAGGGGAAAAACGATGTATAGAAATGATAAAAATGGAGGCAAATGAGTGTAAAGCTCCAGTCTAATCATTGATTCTCAACTCGGCTGAACTCGACTCAGAACTTATTGTCGGGATCTGTAGTTTTTGAGACTTTAGATATTTCTTGCTTAACAGCGTAGATGTACTGGCTCGGTTATGGTAATTTAAGGATTAACAGTTGAGTTTTCCCTCAATCATATATGTAGGCCTCACGATACCATTTACTTTCACTTAACCTTGCTTCCCGAAAGCCTTTATTAGCAGAATTCGATACCAGGTCCTGAGTATCGTGACGATGTTACAAATCCATTACACTACACGACTACGTGTTCTAGTAGGTCACAGGGCAGAGGTGACATTGAAGGTAAGCCAGTCTTCTTCTAAATCCCATTTAGTGTGGGAATGTCAATTAGGCAAACATGTTTTTGCCATTCCAATCGTGGACGTTACTTGATGTAAGTAGTATACGAAACACGAATTATTGAAATGCTCGGGAACTACTTATATCGAATACAAGTAATGTCTGAGATTGGAATAGTAAACACGTGTTTGCCTAATTGACGATCCTACAAGAAGTATGCATTGAATGTCACCTCTGCCCCATGACCCACTGGTGAGTAAAGCGAAAGCAAATTAAACAAAATATTATGGCTTTGCTATTCACCAAAGATACGCCAAAAAGTGCCTTGACCAAGAAGAGTTCAATCATTAGGGCATACCAAAAGAGAAGGCAATACTGGATATTTATTCAAAGGACTTGTGGACTCGACGGGCTGGAGACTTAGCCTGATTATGAACTAGTCCGTCGAGTAGACACGCCTATCTTTCGTTTAGCGAAACCGCAAGAGGGGCTCAAAGAGGTCAAGTCTATGCTTTTCTGTGACATTTCGGCTGACGCAATTCTCCGGATATCATCCGGTTTCGGTTCTGGGAATCTTCGATTGAGGTGATTCGGTGAATTTTGGTTAATAAAACATTTCATCTTTAGAAGATCTTGGTTATGCAGACAGAGAAGAAAGCTGAGTAAGAATGGATGCCACGAGTCGACATTTATAACTTCAGCACAATCCTGCTTCAGTTTCCAGTAAAGCCAAGTTACGAATCTTTCCGCCCTCTTTCGCAAAGTACAGCAACATGAAACGTCACGGAAGTCCCCGAAACAAACGAAAGTGAAGTATTTAGGCGTATTCATACCCATTCTTAGACTAACAATATTTCCAGAGCACGAACGTTACTAATTCTATCTATTATAAATTGCACAAGTAGGTTTCTTGTGTCCAAATGCAAACTCACTAACAAAAAAAGGATTTATTGCAACAAAATATTGCAGTTAGTTATGGATTATTCAGCAATTAGCATGAATCAATATTAAAGCTAAAGGTTTCTTTCCCAAGGAGTAAATATCCTTTTGCAGTGCTGATGTGATTGCAGGTGCGGTCGAGTGAGATTTCCTTAAACCACGACAAGGCTCTGGTCCTAGTCTTTCATGTCAAACTTCGGGAAAGTTTTCTGAATCTCTTAATGTGATACCTCCAAGATCGCTTGATAGAACGGATGTCGACAGCACAAAGTCCACTTTAGGAAAAATAGTATAATCAAAATACATCAAAAATTGCGAAAATTTGACTCTGAATCAGGAGGTACCCACCCTGCCATTCAGGCATTGCACATCTTGACAAAAATTTCCTTGGTCTTAGAGATACTCTCCAGACAGCAGAAAAATTCAAAAAAATGCAAACACTTTGCCTGGTAACAGGAGAGCTCTGGCGGAGGAGATATGTTAACACTTGAAAAAAGAGGGCAAATAAATATGCCTGACACAAGGAAACATTATGTCGTGAATAACATCCATTTTTCTAGACTCAGAGTTGCTTAGGAATTCCCACGCAAACTTTATCAGTCCAGCTTAAGTCTTTGACTGATCAGCCAAATTGAGGGCGAATAACATGTGTTTAGAAGGAGGGAACTAATGAATTAACCTAAAGTCTGGGCTTTTTTGCACTCCAGTCTATGTTTCTTGCCAGCTTGCGAGATAACATCAAATATGATAAGGCTGGTTCAAGGGAATTATCGCATAATCACATCGTTTTCGAGCCAGGATTCTAGATTCGATGCAAGACTATCTCTATCTTTCTACCTCTTATTGAATAGTACAAATATCTAGGTCTGGGCTTGCTTATCGGCACCTCGAGCAATACGGCGTTTTATGGCATGCAGTAGAGCCAATCCAGATTCATGTTCACGCAATACATTTTGCTATAATTCTACCAAACGCTTATTGACTCTCTGCTTGTTAATAAGGCTGCCTTAGTTGATCGTTTTTGGGGTAGTCTGGGCCTGAAGAGGGGCTACATAAGTGGAAAAGACAATCACGAAAAAAAGTG